TGTGTGTGTGTGTGTGTGTGTGTGTGTGTGTGTGTGTGTGTGTGTGTGTGTTCACCAGACGTATATTCTCAACATTTAATTTCATCAGTTGCTATGCCGTGGAGATAACTCTGATAACTCCTAGCTCTCTCTTCATGCCTGAAGTGTGGGGGATAAATTCCCGTGATAACAAGGAAGTGTTTCAGATAAGGTCTGCCACAGAAGAATGACTTGTGAAATAACAGCGGTGTTTTAAGCGTTCAGTTTTAAATGCTGCTGGGAATAGAAAGAGAGGGCATTGCTGCGAGATATTGTGGCATATTGATGTCTCTCTTTCTTTCTCTGTCTGTACGTGTTTCTGTCTCTCTGTCTGTGTGTCTGTATGTCTATCCGTCTGTCTGTCTGTCTATCTATCTCTTGCTCTATCTTTTTTCCTCGCCATCACATCCTCTCTCTCTATCTCTCTTTCTCTCTTACTCTCTCTTTCTTTTTTTTCTTTCTTTCTTTCTTTCTTTTTTCTCTTCTTTTTCGTTTTTTCTCTTTCTCTCTCCGCTATCTTCTCCACAGTCTCACGTTCCTTCTCTCTCTCTCTCTCTCTCTCTCTCTCTCTCTCTCTCTCTCTCTCTCTCTCTCTCTCTCTCTGAGAGTAAGACCATTAACCAAAAAACAACCGTCAATAATACACTTAGATAGCCCGGCACCCGGACAAGGGAGGCGACTGTGTATCGGTGTCTGCACTCATTAATTACGTCCCTTATCAAAGGAAAGTCGGTGAAATAAGAATATTATAATCGTCTCCATTATTCACCATATTATTATTATCATTAATTTGTTAAAATACGAGGTTTCCTGTAGAAGCAGGATCCCTGTTTTATTTCGAGTAAGACACTATCTTAATCTTAATATAAAGTTATGTTTAATTTGTCAAAACCAGTTATTCTTTTTAAAGAAGAGGAACAAAAGTAGTGCCAATACAATGCACCTGATCAAACACTTCAACTGACTTGATTTTCGTTTTCGTCTCGAAATGTGTACTTGCTACATATAAAAAGAAAATGAACAATAAAAGAACAACAACACATCTAACAAAAATAACACATAATCCCCCC